GAGCAGGGAGCCCGATGCGGGGCTCGATCCCAGGACCCTGGGACCATGACCTGAGCTGAAGGCAGACGCTTAATGACTGAGCCACCCAGGCGCCCCTCCCTGCAGATATTTTGAAAACCACCAACAAGCATGATCAAGAACAGTGTAGAAGGAAGGGGAGAAGGCTGGGGGGACGGGGATCAAGGGGTGTGAACTTCTAGTTATGAAGTGACTTCACACAGGGAGTCTGGTTGATAAGACTGTAATCACTTTGGGAGGTGACAGAGGGTAACTAGGCCTATGGAGGTCTGCACTTGGTAAGGTACAGAGGATGGATATGATATTGTATGTGAACTGTAATTTAATAATAAAAAAGAACAGCACAGGGGCACCTGGCTGTCTCAGTTGGAAGAGCACACAACTCTTGATCTTGGGGTTGTGAGTTCAAGCCCCATGTGGGGGGTAGTGTTTACTTAAAAACAGAAAAAAAGAAGACAAAAAGTCTGTCAACAAATCTTACAAGCCTCCACTGTAATAATTAGTAACAGAATTATTACTAATACTGGTTTGGCCCAGGTGTCCTCTGCCTGGCCTCCCATGCAGCCCGCGTGGGTCCTAGACAAAGCCCAATGTGAGCGAGCGCCTTACCCAAGGAGCGGCTTGCCAAGTAACGTGAAGTTGTCAGCTCCAACCAGCAGGACCTGCGAACGGAACAGACGCGTTACCAACAAGTGACGGGACAGTCAGCGGCGCAGACTCTGGAGCATGAGGAAGGTACCGGCCACCTTCCTAGCCATTCCTGGGGTTTGAACCGGTGGGGATGCAGGCCGGCCCCGGGCTACTGTGCCGCAGCTCCTGGGGTTCCTCCTGTGCGGGCCCAACGGCAGAGCCAGGACCACTGTCCCTGAGCACTTAGCGCAGTGATGGCGCATCCAGAGAACAGTGGCAACTGTCCTGTGCAAACAACGGTGGCTTTTTTTTTTAACTTTTTATCGAAAGTTATAACATATACAGGGAAAAATCACACTGTGGTGTCTTCTGAGGCAGTTCATAACTGCTAATCCCGCTAAGATATAGGTTCAAGTGTGGTTTTTTTTGTTTTTTTTAAAGATTTTATTTATTTATTTGATAGAGAGAGAGACACAGCGAGAGTAGGAACACAAGCAGGGGGAGTGGGAGAGGGAGAAGCAGGCTCTCCATTGAGCAGGGAGCCCGATGCGGGGCTCGATCCCAGGACCCCGGGATCATGACCTGAGCCGAAGGCAGACGCTTAACGACTGAGCCACCCAGGCGCCCTCAAGTGTGTTTTTTTAAAGCCTAGGAAATTCCATGTGGACGTTCCAGAAACCGTCCTCAGCGTGGCCAAGCGTGGCCTCAAATGAAGACATCTTTGCATTGCGAGGGCAGTGGTATTTTTAGTAGATGTTGAAGACCATCTTAAGTTTTACTGATAAGAAAAATACCTGACCAGGGATGCCTGGCTGGCTCAGTTGGTTAGGTGTCTGCCTTCGGCTCAGTTCATGATCTCAGGGTCCTGAGATCGAGCCCCGCATCAGGCTCCCTGCTCAGCGGGGAGTCTGATCCTCCCTCTGACCCTCCCCCCTCTCGTGCTCTCTCTCTCAAATAAAAAATAAAATCTTAAAAAAAAAATACCCGATTGTATAAAACTTAAATATTTAAAGACAAAGTGTATTTTATAACAACATCAATGGACTCTGTACGTTTGACGATGACAAATAATCAAAATGCTATCCTACAGTTACTTTCAGGTTGACACTTTCTCTGCTACTAAATTTCCTAAGTGAGGAAAACCAATCTGCATTAGGTGGTGCTTTCTATAATATTTTCATTAATGTGAAATGTTTCCAAACAATGTCTTTTTAGGGGGCGCCTGCTGGCTCAGTTGGTGGAACGCAAACTCATGACTCTTGATCTTGGGGTCGTGAGTTCGAGCCCCATATTGGGTGTAGGGATTACTAAAAAAAGCAAATAAACTTAAAAAAAAAAAGTCTTTTAGAAATCTTCTCAGATACACTCCTAAAGCCTCCTACTTATCTCAGACATTATGGAGCAAACGTGCCCTTGCTCAGGGGCTCACGACAGAGCCCCCGTGTCATTAAGAAGCGAGCACGGCTGGCTGCTGATGGCGATACGGTTGATTAGCTCAGCTCTGAGCTTAGACCACAGGCTGTGAGAATACGTCTTAGAAACAGAGTTTAATGCTCCCCTTGGTGTAAACTCTGCAATCACAAAGGAAGGAGGAATATAGAAAACTATTATAGAAAACTTACACGTTTACAGACATACATTTTAGGATTTATTTATTTGAGAGAGAGAGAGCGCATGCTCCAGCGAGTGCATGAAGGGCGAGGGAAAGAGAGTCCCAAGCAGACCCTGCGTCAAGCTCGGAGCCTGAGGCGGGGCTCGATGCCACGACCCTGAGACCACGACCTGAGCCGAAACCAAGAGGTGGACGGTCAACTGACCGCGCCACCCAGGCGCCCCTGAAAACTTAGATTTTATATACTTTTATAAATAGAGTAAGAAAAAAACAAAGAAGGCCGCCCACAACAGCCAACAGAATCGTAAGTGATGGGTAGACACGCGAGGCCAAATACGTAGCCGAGCAGTGCAGGATGGCGGGTAAGCACGTCAGCCCCAGGGAGACGCCTCTAAGACTAGCCTCTCTGTTTGAAAGCAGCCAGCAAAGCCAAGGCCAGAGCAGCGCTCCCGCCGAAACCCTCTCTCGGTAAATACGCGGAAAGCCCTCCGCCTGTGACTGGGGTGTTCATTCCTTTCTACGGGAGAACGTTCCTGAGACGTGAGACCACTCAGCACACATAAGCAGCTCCGAGGAAGTCTCCTGAGGGAGGGGGGCAGCTGGCGGGGCCGCCACCCCCGGGGGGACACCCGCGCTCCCCGACCCTCGGCTCCGCTTGCCTCCGCCCGCCGACCCAAGAAAGCCTCCCCAGGGATGGACCCGGGGGCAGGAGGGCACGTTTGGTGACTGCGCCCCCAGGTGCACAGGCACGGCCGGTCTCACCTTCTCCAGCCGTATCCTCTCTCCACACCCAACGTCTAATGCGTTGTCAATTAAAATCAGATCCTCAGAGGTCACCTTCCACTGGTGGCTGGCGAAGTGCACCACAGCGAAGAGTCGGCCGTACCGGCCTGTGGCAATCAGCTCGTTCACCCTGCCCACGACCTCTGCGGGGCAGAAAACAGAACAGGCGGCGGGCCAGTCCGCTGCTCACACCGGGCACGGCAGCCGCGCCGCCCCACACGGCCCAGGCCCGCAGCGACAGTGATACGAGGCCGTGTGCGCCCTGCTCTCCCTCAGCAGGACATGAAGTTCCAGCCGCAGCAGGGACACCAGGTGATGTGACAGATGGCACCCCTGGTGAGGTCACCTGCTGCTGAAGGCCGCGCCCCTCCCCACGGCCAGCGCTCGGCCTGCCATTCCCAGGAGCACGGGCTCGTCTGCGAGGGGGGCTTCTAGAGACATGCGTCCCCCAGACCTCATGGAATGCCCCATGGCCGCCCGTGATTCTCTGGCCTGAGCACTCCGCGTGCCTGGCTCCATCTCTTTGACTCTGGGGTGGAAAGACCTTCACCCTGTGGGATTCCCAGTCTTTACTGAGAAAAAGCCAGAGGACTGGCAAAGCGAGAGGAGAGGCCTTTCTGCAAACCAGGAAAAGCTAGAATTACACCCCCTGGTGCTAGAACTACTTGCAAGCCTCTGGGCTTGCACACAGCTCTGGGCTGCCACGGCCTCACCTCAGCTCATGGTCCCCTCTCCTGCCCCGTTCACCGTCTGATAAGCGTCTACGAGCCCTGACCCAGCCGGCCCGGCCTGGGGCTGGGGGTTTGGAGAGGAGCACACAGTTCCTGCCTCAGAAGCAGAGTCAGGCTGGAGCCGTGGCTGGAGAAGGGGCAGAATGCCGTTAATCTTGCGCCTCGCGCTGACCTGCATCTCCAGCCTTGTGAGGGAAACAGGATCCCACACTCGCTCATGGCAACGGTGGCCGGCCACACTGTCCCTCCTCGTGTCCCGACACCCCGACAATTTCTGCGACTCCCGGGACAGCACCGGCACCCCCGGTTCTTCTGACTGTGGAGAAATCTTTCCCTGCCCCCACGTTCCTACCAACACCAGGGAGACAGGGATGGACCAAGGGCACCCCCGCTCGCTTACACCGCCTGCCTTGACCACGGTGGGTGCTTGGGAGCATTTGCGAAACGAACGAGGGTTTATATTTTTGCGTCAAGTGGCAAAAATGAGCCTGAGTGTTCACACTGTGCCGGGTCTCAGGGCACGTGGAAACATGAGATCCTGTTCTGTGGCCAGGGGACCACCTCGGTGGGGGGAGGAGGGACCACCGCCCTCCAGTTCCTGCCTCTGTCACCTGCATGGTGTCTGGTCTCCTCAGCGGGGTCTGGCAGGACAGCTTCTGGCCAAGGTGGTGAACTCAGCGATGTTTTAGGAACGTATCTGTAAAACACAGTTTACATGTGTGCGGCACGCCCGTGGGAAGACAGTTCAGAGTCTGTAAGAAATGGCTGTGCTCAGGCTGGGGGGCCGTCACTGCCCTGCCAATGCGTGAGTCTTGGGTACAGACCTGCCCCCTGGCGGGGCCAAGGACGGGCTCCTGCGCAGCCTCTCAGGTGGGCCGCGTATTTCAAGGAACACCCGCTAACCACTCAATAATCAAAACAGGAATTCCAACCATTTTATTCCAGAAGAGCCCCTCCTGGGAATAACTACCTCCCGAGGAGACTGGCCCCTCTTAGCGTCCTCGGGGCACACGGGCTCTCAGAGGTGTGGGCTGCAGTGCTGCCCCCCCCTCTCCTCCACCCAAAGGCAAGTTCTCTGCCTCTCGCCGGGCTCTTGTGCCTCACCCTGGCATTCCAGGGCTCTGCGAGCAGGGCTCCCACGACAGGACCACTTCCCCTGCTCTGCCCCAAGCCGGTCTGTCCCGACCTCTAACTCCTACCAGGTAGGTGCCCGCTCGGCCTTCATGCCCAGACAGGAGCCAGGCCCGGATCTGAACCCCACCTCTGCCACCAGAGTACCACGACCGTGGCAAGCATCTCACGACCCTGCGCTCCAGTTTCTTTCATGGAGCAAATGGGAATAAAAAAAGCACCTGCCTCCAGGGTCGCGCAGGGTCAGGAGGGACGGTGTGCCCAGAAGGACTGGGCAGTGTGGGGGCGCGCTCAGGGGCCATGGAACTGCCGTCATTGCCCGTCCTGTGCTGCAGCCAGGCATCTGCCCCGCCCCCCGCTCAGCCTGGGGCCGATGAGCCGGCTGTGCAGGGAGGGGAGCCCACGGGCGACAGGAGGCGGCAGGGTCTTTCCCACTTGCTGATCTCGTTTGGCCTCGAATTCCTGAGGTCTACGAAGAGGGGAGAACTCAGGAGAGCCCACATCGAATTCAATTATTCAGAACCGTTTTAAAGCTTTTGTTGCTGTTTGCTGCCACAGAGGGAACCTTTCCTGACCTCAGTCTTTTTGCAGCAGAGCTCCGGCGAGGAAAAAAGGCTGCTCACCGGGGAAGAGCGGCCGCTTCTGCAACTGGGCACAGGCCCTTGTGCTTCTACTGGCAGCCAGCAGGTGCTCAACACGGGCGTGTACAACAAATGCTCTCCGCGCTGGGGTTCGGGGCACTGCGGCGTCAACTGGCCAGGGAAATGAAACTGAGCTCGACCGCTGTGCTCCTCTCAGAGCACCCGGAAACATGCTCCCGCTCTGTGGCCAGGCAGTGGCCTCTGATGGACAAGGAGGAGCGGGGTCTGACGTAGGAGCTCTGGCCTCCTCGCCGGGCCTGGCCGTCCCCTGCTGCCGACCACAAAACAACAGATGCCGGAAACCCGGCACTCCGTGGGCAAGAGAAAGAGTAAGCCAAAGTAACTGACATTCCCCCTTAGGATCTCTCTCTATAACCTGATTCTGTTTTTTGACTTCTCTTTTGAGCAACATAAAAGCCCCCTGAATCTCCCCACTTCTGAGTCTGTGATGCAGGAGCAGCCGATACTCTGGACAACTCCCTGTATGCCAGGCGCTGTCCTAAGCTCTTTAAATGTAGAAATTTACTGAATGCACACACAACTCCACTGACAGAGATCCTAACACCACTTCCATCTTGCAGAAGAGGAAACAAAGCTCAGGGACCCGGGGCTGCAAGGGGCGGGGCCAGGATAGGACCCAGGAGCTTCCTAATTCTTAACTGCCACCCTCTATTGCTCCTGGATATTCCTACCAGCGGGTGTGATTTTGTCCAATTTACTTTCTGTAGTTTACATTAAAGGTTTTTTTCCCCTGGGGCGCCTGGGTGGCTCAGTCTGTTAAGTGTCTAACTCTTGATTTCGGCTCAGGTCATGATCTCAGGGTCGTGAGTGAGCCCCGCATTCAGACTCTGCGCTCAGTGAGGAGTCTGCTTGAGATTCTCCTCTCTTTCTCGCCCCCCCTTAAATAAACAAAATCTTTAAAAAAAAAGGTTTTTTTTGCCATAAGTGTATTTTAATACTAAATAAACTCTTCCAAGTGATACTTATTTTTTTCTTCCAAATGATATTTAAGTTCTTCCTAAAAATTCTGATCCAACCTTCCTGTGATTCCATCTTCCCAGTTAGAAGTTTCTAATTAGGAGCCACAAGCTTTCCTTAATAAAATCAGCTGCATAAGGCCTAGAAGCACATTTATCTTTGGACGCTTGATGTTCCATCTACGTTTATGTCAAGGGTTTTAAAAAAATACTATCAAGAAATTAAGAGAAAATTTAGATGTTCTCGAAAACCCACGCATATGCCAGTTTGACTTTAGAAAGATAGTCCTACAAATGACGAGTCACCCAAACCCACGTTTTGATATATTACCCTTGTGGAACTGAAGTGCTCTGTGAACCGAACCTTCGGGAAGCGGACCCCAGGGAAGCTGAGGGAACAAGAAACAGTGATCGTTACCGGCAAGAAATGCCACTGCTCTTCAGAAAGCGAAATGCACAAGTACTACCACTGGTGCCCGAGTTTGAGCCCCAGATCGCAACGCACCTGCGGGAAAACCAAGGTCAACAAAGCTAGAACAACATCGCTTATAGTTATTGCTTGTGTGTGTCGAGATGTGTTCTCATGCCGTCGAAAAGGGCCTAAAACCAGAACCGCTCACCCACTGATCCGATCCTTGACCGCCAAGTGCCCAACGGGTTCAGATGCTGTTCTGTGCTTTTGAGACGGCCCGCGGAGCCCACCTCCTCAACGGAGCTGGTTTCTGCGACCAATGGCATGTGGTAGAGGGAAGGGCACAGTACTTCTCAGATTAAGTTATAAAAGACTGGAACGGAGGCCTTCTGCCCATGGTCCAGCTGGTGAGCTTGGAAACAGAAAGCCCGGCCCCAGCTGACAAGAGTGCCAGAACCACCCAGCTAAGCTGCTCCTGTAAATGCTGTGCATGACAAACGCTGGTCATCTTAAGCTGCTAAGCTCTGGGGTAACTTGTTGTGCGGCAGTAGATGACTAATACACCAAGGGACAAAGGCAATCACCGTCTACCAAGCGAAGGTCCCAGTAATCAAATGCAGAGTTTAAGAGCGAAAAGCAGAGGACAGCAACTCAGTAACTGTCAAGGGTTTATTTATTCATTTATCTCCGGAGATGTCCTGTTACTGAAGATTCCTTTGTGGGGCTCCGGGCTGGCTCAGTTGGTAGAGCATGCGGCCCTTGATCTCGGGGTTGTGAACTCGAGCCCCACGTTGGGTGTGGAGCCTACTAAATGAAAAAAAAGTTTCCTCTGTATCTATTTTTTTGAGAGTTTTTGTTATGAATGGATGTTGAATTCTGTCAACTATTTCTTGCATCTACTGATGCATGTTTTTTTTTATAATTGAGCTATAATTGACATTCCATAAAATTCACCCTTTTATAGCTACCTGTTAGCAGGTGTTCCCAATTATTGGTGTCTTGGGCTGGTTTGTCCTCTACTACCTCGCTGTGCCTGGGGTTTAGACCTTCGGCCTCATCTCTTCTTTCTCTATGATCATTCCTCTGCCGATTGCATCTAGTGGAATGAATTTAAATATCCTGTCTACACTGGTGACTCCCAGGTTTACACCTGCAGCCTGGATGTGACCATCCAGTTGTCTATTTGCTATCACCACTTGCAAGTCTAACAGGCATCTCAAAACCTACGAAGGTTCCAGATCCCCGCCATGCCTGCTTCTCTTCCCCATCTCACACAATGCTAGCTCCGTTAAAAGCAGGGATTATTTATTACTGATGTATTCCACCCCTCCCCCATCAGTTCCTGATGCAAAAACATGCTCCATAAATGGTGGGTGAATGAATGAAGTCCACTCTGCTGAGTCAGCACATGAAGCCCTGGTTGAAATACGCCCTGACGGGGGACTCGGCACCTCTCCTGGGAGCCACCCCACTGTTAAAGGCTCAGTTGGAAAGTTTCTGCCCCTGATCTGCTTCCCTGTAACTCTCAGCTATGGTCTTGCCTTAGCCCTGGACCCCAGAAGGAACAAATGCACTCCCTCCTCTCCCATGGGGTCATCCTTTAGCTCTCTGAGGACTGTGGTCTGTCTACCATCCTGTTTTCCTCTCTCACTCTTCAAGGTCCCATCCGCTTATCATTTTGGTCGCCTTCTCTGTACTCCATGTTATCTGTGTTTCTTAAAGTGGGAGTCTGGAATTGAACACAGCATTCCGGAGGTGGTTTTATGTTGGTAGAATGGAGTAATTTCCAGTGCTTTTGTTAAAACGTCCCTCCCTACTTAAATCCAAGTTTTACTAATGGAAAACGTCAAGCACAAGGAAGTAAAGAGGACAGAACCGTGAGCCCAGAGCCCCCGAGCAGCTGTTCCCAGACTCAACAGTTAACAGCTCACGACCAACGTTTTTTGATTCACACTGCCTCTGGCCCAACTTTGCGATTATTTTTACATAAGTCACAGATACATTGTTTAATCAGTAAAGATGTCAGTATACGTCTATGAAAAATAAATATTCTTAAAAAACACACATAACATAGGCACTGTTACCACATCTTAAAAAGGGAACGATTAATACTGTCAAATATACAATTAGACTTAATTTTAAAACATACTTAAACACTCCCACACACAAACAACACACTCCAATCATTTCAGGCAAAAATACAGTGTTTCTGGCGAACACAACTTTTTTGAACCTCATAAAAATACGGCTGCTGCTTTTACTGAATGGGTTAAGATTTGGCAAGGACGTTCACCACCACTTCCCAGAGGAGGACAGCGAGCGTTCTAAAGAGCGGCTCGAAGCCTGGGAGCGACGGTAGAGCACAGGCCTGGGAGCCGTACCGAGCTGTCGGAATCACTCTCGACCCACTTCCCTGCGTGTGACCCTGGGCAAGTCACCCAAGTTGTCTGAACCGAGCCTCAGTTTGCTCCCCAGGCAACACAGGCACTGTAGCGAGCTGAAGAGCTGATGTCAGTAGCGAAGCCGCTAACTAAAGGAACCAGGATCCGAACCCGGGTTTCCCCGACTGCAAAGCGAGAACTACATTCACCGCACCGAAAAAAAGCAGTCAGCACCGAAGGCACCGAGGCAGACACGGACCCGCGCGCCCCGTTCGCCCCGCTCCCTCTTCTCACCCCGCCACCCGGGTCTCACCCGCTCCGGGCCCGGACACTCTCAGGCAGCTGCGGCTGCACGCGGACGCCAGCCCCCCGAAGGCGACCGTCACGACCCGGGTTGTCACGGCCGCCGCCATCTTCCCGCAGCTTCGGCCGGAAGCGGAAACGGCCTCGGCGCGAACCTTGTGCGTCGACGCACAGGCTCCGGCCCGGGAACTCCGCCTGTCGCGGCAGCAGGACCTCAGCGGCCCTGGGCCCGGGCCCCGCGGCGGCCATGGCCTCGGCGGCCGTGGAGAGCTTCGTGACCAAGCAGTTGGACCTGCTGGAGCTCGAGAGAGACGCGGAGGTCGAGGAGCGCAGGTACGGCGTCGGTCGGCAGTTCCCCAGCCCGGCCAGCCTCGGGCAGAGATTTGCCCTCTCGCCCCCCGAGTCCCGCCAGCGGCCCTGGGGTGCTCGGCCGCCGCTGGGGATGGGACTCTGTCGCCTCCCGGGCGGCCCGTGCCGGTGTGGGGCCCTTAAGAAGCCTTTTCTTTTCGGCCTGGAGCCCCCCCACTCCCGAACATTCAGTCCTAGGTCCTGCCTCTTCCCTCAGCGCGTCCTCAGCCCTTTCCCTTCTTCGGTGCGGGGCCGGTGGGAGGGCTCGAGGA